TGCCTTCACACAACCTCTAGGACCATTACTGACTGCCTGGGTAAATGATGTGCTCATCTGTCTTTGCTTTTCATTCCTGTTCTCTTGCATGTCAAAGTACACGGGGGCATGTGGCAGGTGTAAAGACACAGCCTTTTCTGCTCCCAGAGCTTTCAGCCTAAACCCTGGGCACATTGCAGGGAACAAGGGCACCAAACAGACGGGAACATTTTGAGGTAGGAGCCTGAAGGGGTAACAAGAGCACGTGAATGCCGAGATGCCCTGACAAATAGCACAGCATGTTGTGTTCAAGGCATATCCAAGCTAGCTGAAAGCTTGTTCACTCAGGGGCTCCTAATGGGGAAGCTGCAGTAGCAGTTGCCCAGGGTGGAGTTAACTAGTTACCCAGGCCCCTGGGTGAGTTTTGCAGCCCATGCTGAGCTCTGGGTTGCAGTGGCTCTACTGTTTTTGTTATCTCACTTAGCTTAATTTAATCTGGGTTGAGAGTGTCTACATGAGTGGTAGCCACAGGGGGGACACAGTAAGCGTTGTTCTCTTATAATGGGTACCCCACTAGCAGGCAACATATTGGGAAGGATTTGATGGAAGTGAAGACTTCCTGTAGTCCTTGGAGGAAGCAGAATGGAAGGTGCTCCGGGCTTGATCTTGCAAGGAACTGAGCCAACAAAGTACTTAAGCATTCACTTAAGTTTGAGTGTGTATGTCCAGCAGACTTCAACAGGACTTTTCACGCAATTAAAATTTATTGTATCAGATATTGGGCCGACACGAGGCCTGGGCATCTTGTGATTTGCAGGATTGAGCCCTCCATCACTCTGAGAATGGTACTGTATCTAACGACTGTGTGGGAGAAGCTGACATCGGAGGTGGTGTTGCCAGAGCCGCAGAGGTCTGGAGACGAGGGATGCAACCATGTGAGTGGCTAACGATGGAATTGTGGAGGGCCTGGAAGGGAAGACCAAGAAGTGTAAATCTGATACTGGGAATGAAGAGCTAGAGGATAGGAGGGATGTGGGGAACAAGAAAGGCCATCTCTCTCCATCTAGCACTCTCTAGCTGTAATATTTTAATGTAAAACAGGAATAAGGTGAATCTGAAGATGATTGAATACACACTTGAAATGTCATGGAGGCAGCTTGTTCCTCTGACTAACTGTGCTCCCCTAGCACCCTCCCTGCCTATACGCATATGTTTTGGGATAACAGCTTTGTATCTCCATACCGATTTACACAGCAGCAGTACGTGCACGCAGGTTGCAGTCTGTATTTGTCAGCCGGGTTGTGTTACAGGTGCAGTGATACACACATCCCTCCCCAAAAGATGAGCGTGCTCACACAGCTTGAATCATCCAGAGGAGGGAGACCCCATTCTGAATTTGTTGAAGAAAAAACCAAAAAAAAAGTCTGATCTATCTAAAAGGAAGCAAAATGTTTCTGGGCCCCACCTTCTGCTATCTCTGAAATGACTGCGCTGGCCATCTTACCAGGTGCAGGAAAGTAATGGTGGTGTTTTAGGTGTCCAGGCTGTAGCCATATTGGTCTAGAGGAAAAGGCAATCAGGACTCATAGTAGAGGTGATATCTTTTAATAGACCAACAAGATTTTTGCAAAAAAAAGCTGTTAATTGCAAGCTTTCTGGCACAAACACCCTTCATCGGGCACTGGAGAAAAAATCGTAAAAGTTCTCCTGGGTAGAAATGCAAGTTCATATTTCATAGGATTTCACAGAGGAATCAATAGATGGAAAACTCCTCTGGGCAGTTGGTTGATAGCTGGTATGAAGCTCCTGATCTCCAGTGAGGATCTATGATGATGCAGATTACCTTGAAACAAAGGCAGGAGCAGGATTTCAGGTGGTCACAATTGCTTCCTGCTTGGAGAAAATATGAAGATTTCATTTTTAAGAATTCGCTAAAATTCGATATCTTCCATGTGTCGGGTATCCAGGCCTGAAAGCTTACAATTAAAGACTTTTTTTTTTGCAAAAATCTTCTTGGTCTAATAAGAGATACCATCTCTGCTACAAGTGGTGGTGGTTTTTCTTTTCAGTTCACCTTTTAGACCGAATAAGGGGAAAATTCAGCCCAAGGAATACACAGCCGTCTTTCTTTTTTTGCCTGGAATGGTCCAAATGTTATGCCACTTATTTTCTCTGTTGCTCCACTGCATAGGTACTATACCAGATAAGAAACAGTCTACACTCTGAAGAGACTTCCTTCAAATTAGACAAAATGGGTCAATCACCCATGTGTTACACAAGGCAAATGGAAGCAGAGAGGGCCACGGGCTTGGGGGTAAAAGGTGCAGGGTAGGGTGGCATGTTGGAGATCAACTAGTTCAGTGTGGTACTTTGGTATAGACCTATCGCAAGGGAGTGGGATACCCATGGGACCCACCAGCAGGTAGCTGGGACAGGAGCTGGCAGGGTGGAATAAGCTTTGCAGGCAGGATTAAGCGGGGAAATAATTCATCTTGTGGGAACAAAATGTGGAATTAACTTCAAACCCTTTGTGCAAGGTGGAGCTGGGTGTGAGTTGTGACAGGTGGGAGTGAGATAAATGTAACAAGAAAAAGCAAGGACAAGGAGGAAGTCTGCAAGTAAGGCAGGAAAAGGGTCTGGCACAGGATTGTACTTGGGCATGTTTGAAGATCCCCTAAGGCTTCTCTTCCTCCTAGGGCTGCTAGATATCTTTAAAAATCCAGGCGGATTAGATGGGAAGTTCCCAAAATGCTCAGTGTTGGCTTGACCTGTGCAGGAAATAATCATTTTGCTTCGAGTATAATTTGCTTTAATGTTGTTTCCATTCCATTCCCCTGACTTGTACTCTGGGGGCCGTGTCCAGACAAGTACAGACGTTTGTTTGCCCAGGGGCAAGTAGCAGCAGCACACCTTGAGCCACTGCTGCTTGTCCCCTGGGAGCACCCATGCCACGTGTGCTCTGACATGTGGCAGGTGGGGTTGGGGAAACTGGGACCAGCACAGGTGCTGGCCCCAACAGCCTTACCTGAGAGCCTCCCAGGGCTGCGGTCACAGCAAGAAGCGTGGCCAGCAGCCAGAGGGTGGCTCTGGCTGGCTAGGCTCTGCTTTTGGGTGGCACGCGCTGCTGCCATGTACACCACCCCGCTTTTTTTTAGCGTGGGTTTTTTTGATGCTGGGATCTCCCAGAGTCAAAAGAAAAAAACCCATGTTGCAAGGTAGCAGTGTGGAAAATGCCACACACTGCACGTGTGGGCATCGCAGACGGGTCTGCAGCACCACATACCACACAACTGCCCTCATCTGGATGTGGCCTGGGAGCACAGATCCTCCTGCTCTAAGTCTGCAAAACACTAGGTGTTGCCATACAAGGATAAGGAGCAGGCGTGGACTGGCATTCCCTATCTCTGAAAATACCTGGTGCAGACCTCCCCAAGTCTGCCCCCACCTTGCAGTAGCAGAAGGAGGCAGCTGATGAGCAAAGCAATGGCAACAGCACAGCCATGTAACACCTCCTGTTCCCCTTCCTCCAGCAGAGGAGGAACACCAGCGAGATGTGGCAGCAGCAGTGGCCAGGCCTCGGCCTCATGCCGAGGAGCGCGGCGAAGGTATGCCCAGGCGCCGGAGGAACATGGGGACCAGGATGCTGGCTGAGAGGAGAGCGCAGCAGGTGGACAACTGGGCAGATGGTAAGTTTTGATTCGGCTCCGTTTGTGCAAACGAATACTGATCTGTACGAGCAGGTGCTTGGGATGGGGGGGCAGGCTCCCAGAGTCCTCGTCAGCTGGGCTCCAGAGATTCTGCAGCCTGAGTCTGATCTGCCTCAATATCCTGATAGTATGAGGATGAATTTACATAGCACTCCCCCCCAGCTACTGCAGTGCTTTCAGTCTCTTCTCTCAAGAGATCACTCGCCCTTCAGTGAAATGCAGCTGTTTCTGCGGTGCATTCTGTGCCATCCCTATGACACGACTGTTTCTAGGAGGGCTGTGAAGAATGCTGCTCCCCTTCCAGTTGAAATCACAAGGAGAAATGGGAAGAGAGGGGGTAGAATCAGCACCTTTTACACTATACCCATTCTAAAAAAAAAGCTACCCCGTTGTTTCAAGACACTGATTTAGCACTAACTTGAGGGAAAGTACTAGCATGCACACACCGCTTCTGTAGCATCTGGGTTTTCCCTGGGCTCGCATCCAAATATGGATCCACACAGGCCCTGCTGAGCTGGCAGTCGCATCAGAAATGTATTTTATTTATTCAGTTATTTGATTGTTACTGCTTACAATTATTAGATTGCAGTATCATATCCTAGAGTTGCAGGTCAGTGTGAACAGTCCCATGGCTTTTGTTTTGCATGTAGAGATGGCAGCAGAGATCCTGACATGTGGTTGTGGTTGGGAAAATCCTTTGTACTCCTTACAAGTCCTGCCGTCCCATTGCTTGTTTGTTTTTTCTCACAAATCGGCTGTTTCCATTTCACCCCTGCTAGCCACGCAGAGCTGGTGCAGTTGTGGGTTTGCAAACTACATCTCTCAGGCTTGCAGTGTCATCTACAGCATTATTCAGTTTGGAAAGTCTTCCCTGCTCAAGTGGAGTGAACAGAAGACTCCAGCTTGACTCCCGTATCCCAGCTTACTGTTTTAGGCTTTCCATCCACATACAGAGCGAGGTGGATCCTGTTGAGCTTGAGCTTGCATCAAAAATGGCAGCCTTGAAGTGATAGTTTGGGCAGGAGGGAAAT